CCCTGGATGCAAACTAAGTCCAGATACATCCAGTGGGGTACGACGTTTTCAGAACGCCGTACCCCTGAGACTCTAGCTAAGTCCAGATGCATCCAAGGGGTCCGGCGTTTTAAGGACGCCGGACTCTCAAGAGCTTGAAATTTCCACCTAAATCGCTCTAATTTATGAGGTTTCAATTTCGTTCAAAAAATAAAATATGTCCGTTTTGACGAAATTGTTGTTCTTCCGCACCCGAGGTTCCCAATCTGCCGATGTTGCCAATTTGATGTTGTATTTAACTGCCGCCCTGATCATAAAGGGGGTGAGTCGTTCTCCCCGACGGACTACTGAGTTTCGGAAATTCCAAAGAGTCGTAAGAATAGCACCACGAAGTGTTTCTTCAGCGCGCGAGCGGCAAGGCGAAGGCCACTGTCGTCTGGAAGCTGTCCCCAAAAGTACAAACTGGTCATCCCATCGAGCCTGAACGGCTGGGACCGGGACATTAGCATGGCGCCACCAGTCCCAAAAGGGTTGAGTAAGATCACATTGCAACAGAAAATGTTGGACATCTTCCAGCGGGCCAACTTTCACAGTCCTACCTGAGCACCAGGTAGCCACTGGCAGGGCCAAATGCATCATTAACCACAAAAGACTAGCATGTTTGTTGTTGGTCAAATCCATAAGCTGCTTCCCGAAAGCTGGTAGCGATTGAGACAGCCTTGGCAGAGAGTCTGTTATCCATCCAGTAGCTATCCACCTCCGAGCCACCACCCACTTTACATCAACTCGTGGCCGCGCCATTTGGTAACCCAATTTTGTAGCATAATCATATACGTAAACCAGTTTATCTGAGTGTTGGGGGTGCTGCCATGCCCAGTCTCTGGGATACACAGGCAGGTGCATGGACAGAGTCTGTAAACAAAAAGGTCGATAACTATTCTCTTATTCAATAACACATACAGGTTGCAGCTGTTCCGGAGGAGGCAAAGGTGTTGCATCTTCTGCATACTGCAACAGTTCTCCCAATGAAAAGGCCTCGCCTTGGACTTCCCAACACGAATAGAGAATGTCCGTCACTTCCAAGTAAGTCTCCTTCCTCCAAACGTATTGCGCATGACTTGCGCATTATGTTTGTACCACATACCGTCAACCACTTCCAGTCCCCTTCGTAGAATGTGTAACCAGGCCGGTGACACTGCATCTTGTAACTGTTGGAGATGTTGTTGTTGACGCCACAGACCAATCAATCTTGGTGCCAACAAATCAAATGTTTTCCAATCCGCAGAGTCAACATCCCAGAGGTCCTACCCATTCATGCATTTCCAAACTGCCCAGGTCCAAAACATGCAAACGACAATCCAGTAGCAGTCAAAATATAGGGATTATTAAACAAAGGTTGGGTGAACAATCGCTCACAAAACATAGGAGGGGGTTGTAGGCGAGGACAAACAACTCTCCAGGCTTTCAAAATGCTCGCCCACACTCCCGGCGACAGTTGCTTACGGAGATATTCCGGAAAAGGAAGGCTAACCAAAAGCAACGCAGATCAGACTAATAAAAAAAAGAGAAAAGTGTGAATTCAGTCAACTATCGCCGCAGAGTGTGCGGTTATTCAAAGATTGCCCATGGCACCCATCGTGCCAACAAAGCAGTGATCTGACTTTCTGGGTCCAAAATAGAGAGACCTCCATGAAGTTTTGGTTGTGTAATAGTCTGCCAGGCGACCTTTGGCAAAAAATTATCATCGTTAATCTCTTCTTTCCATAAATAGTGGGACACCAAGAGCCTCACCATCTGAAGGGAAGGAGATTCTAACTGGAAAAGAGAACATCTATACCACAATGCCGACAAGACTACATTGTTAATGACTATCGCTCTTCCAAACAAACTGGTACCTTTGTGTGGGGTCCATGGTCGGAGTGCTGTACGCAATTGAACAAGTGATTGTGAAGAGTCATGTATTTGTTGCGGGTCAAATGATAAACAATGGCCCAACAGACGTTCGTGTTGAAAATTGGCTTTGCTTCTGGGTGACAGATTCTTCACAATGTGTTGTTGGTAGAACAACTGGTTGAGCATGTGTAGGGAGGTGGGGATAGTTTCGCTATTGTTTTGCTCGATCTTGAGAAGGCCTACGATCGAGTAGGTTGGGAATTTTTGCAGGCTGTTTTGACAGCCTTTGGATTTGGTCCTAAATTCAAACATGCAGTTTCTAGTCTCCTCTTTAATGCCACTTCGCAAGTATGTGTCAATGGGGTGTTGTCTGCTCCTATTTATTGACAGCTTCGTCGGTCAGTGCGGCAAGGTTGCCCTGTTGCACCGTACGTGTACATTTTGTATGTTAAAATCATGCATATCCTTATTAGGACCATGCTGGACATTCCGAGAGTGTTACTCCCGTGTGGAGCGACTCTAAGTCTGAAGCTTTTGCGGATGATTCTGTGGCATTTACCCCATTGTTTGACCAAGCCTTTCTTGCTTTGAGAGAAACGATTCAACTCTTTTGTCATTTGTCACAAGC